CCAATCCCATCAGAAGGAGACTGTGGGCTGCTGATCTGAGGATACGTCATCCGATTAGACGTTCCTTCACCACAGACAGCAGAAATGTCTGGCGTTTTGCAGTCACCAAGAAAGACGCAGCTTGAACACATATGGTGTAACGTTCATTTGTCTGATGAAAGTCGCTATCTTCAACACGTTACCGACGGCCGTTGTCGCGTATGGAGACGTCGTAACGAGGCAAATCACCACGAGATGACCCAATATTCAAGTTTTTGTGTATTCATCTCAGGTTGCAAGTAAATTACCAAAAAGTTCAGTTTTGCTTTTGTTTTAATCAAAGTAAAATATGTTACAATTACCATTTTATTAGGGGTTATTTGCGTTTAATAGCATATACAACATGTAGTGTTTATTTGGTGCACACGAGGTACTAATGTGTGCGCACAATGTAAGCATTTGCGGGATGTGAATATAAGGATGGAAATGTATATCGTGCACAAGTGTGTTGTACAAACGAAACTTATGCCTCGACTGCAGACGTGTCTAATCTGTCTGAAACCTACTGAGGGTCATGAATACCCGAGAACAGTAATTATATATTGTGCACTCGAGATGCTATAGTCTGTGCACAAGACACCAAACATTAATGTATATCATGCACACGAGATACTATTGAAGCACGACGTACACATGCTTCCCTGCACTCGGAATTTCTGTTGTCATAATCTGTGTTGGAACCCAGTTGCAACACCAGCTTCCGATTGCTCATTCACATAGTTTCATCGCTGGTTTATTTTACGCCCATTTGAATCTGTTCCAACAAATAATCAGGACCGTCTATTCTCTGGCGTTGATGTTTAATATTTATTCAGTTCCGTCAACACAACCCTTGGAAACTGCCTCAGAGGAACCCTTTCTTTAAACCATCATGCACCATGTGCCACTACAAATTAGATTATTATAATACAAAGATGTGGCTTACAATTGAATTGTTGAGTTGCCAATTTCAGGACAGATGTAATTGTTAAATTGACTGCCGTTGCTGAAAATGAGAGTTGATGGATTTAAATGATACAAGTGTTTGCACTAACATGACAATGTCTCCCCGCCGCTAAAGAAGAATGAAATATAACAAATTTACTAGTTTTGATCTTTTGGTCACATAAAACAGTAACTTTTGTGTGATGTAGTTTCTAGTCATGGTCACTTCTCAGAATCATGTCCTAACTCTGAAGATATTTCAGGAATATAGTAGATTTGAATGTATAGATGCAGATGCACATATCCACTGTCAGTATCAGTGTGTATTAAGTCTGGGACAGGTCCAAAGTTTCTACCCGGGTACCCCACCCCAATTACCCTACACTACCCTGATACCCGTTATGTTAATTCTTGACCTCAAATTTGTAAGAATGGTAATAAATTCTTCCTTCGGGGGTTAAACTTGGGTGCAACTTTTTATGGGATATCGCGTTTACATAAGTTTGAAAAGTGGACTCAAAGTGTGATGGTGACCTTGGAGATAAGGCCAAGGTCACCCAAATCGACTGGTATCTGCGTAATCTCTCAATGTAGGCTGTCACCAAATTTGAAGACATTGAGTACAACAGTTCATGAGATATCGCGTTAACAAGAATCGGGACGTACGGACGGACGCTGCTGAATACATAGTAAATAAAATAAAAATATGTACACAAGTGACTATGGCCAACAATAATAAGGACGGGAACACACGGCATATGCGGTAAGATAAGGACCTTTTGAATATCACAACTTCTGCATCTGTATCATTTGAAAAGTAGCCAAACTTTCAGAAATCGTGTTTTTCTTATTTTCCATATTACTAAGCATTAACTATAATAACTATAATTTACTCTGCCATCTGTTCGTGTGTACCAACAATCTGTGTAATTATAAAGTCTCAAATACGGAGATAGATTTATACTTTGGGACAAGAATCTCCTAATAATCCCAACCCAAGCCTGCCAAGTATCTTATACCAATCACCTGTCCTGTTTTTATTCGAACTCATCTCTGCAGGCTGAAAAATAGACTTGTTACTGTGAAAACAACGTTTCCTAATGATCGTGTGAGTTTAGACTGAAGTTTACACTTCGGCCAGAGTACTTTAATATATTAAATTTTCAAAATATTGATACATTACTGTAAATTATGTAAGTAGTTCGTTTGAGGCACTAAGCAAACTCATGGAATCCTGTTCGTGTATATGTTCCAGTCTAGCTAAGACAACCTGGTTATTATTGTAGGAAAATGATTTATAAGTAAAGACAAAAAATACATTTTGGGCTTCAAGAATTGTATTATTTCAGTAATCAAACAATTATTTATTTCTGATTGGAATACAGAAATGTAAAACCCCGTAATGTGATAATAAATTATACATGGTCATATGTAATCATTAATCAGTAAATATACAGCCATTCAAAAACAAAATACATCAACTTTCTCTTGAAAATTAAATATCATTTTTTATATTATTTCTGCATTGCACAAGTCTCTGCCAACGAATATTTTAGACACTCACCGAGTGGGGTTCTCACACCAACTCGTTTCTTAATCGCTGTGCTACAACCTCTTACCTCAGTCTGACACTACGTGTTTCTCGGATAATCCATCACCGACTAAAACCGTCGAGATTGCTATCAATATTCACACACGGTCAACAGCTTTGGTAGTCTAAGAATAATCCAAATTTGAACAGTTGGGGACCAGAGCTTTGGATGTGTTCTATATTCCATCTTTAGACAATTGTATTTCGGTCCTCATTAATTCTACAGAAGATCAAACAAAGAACATATTGAATATATTATAATCAAATTCGATCAGGACAAAACGCAAATACCACCCGTTGGATTGAAGCTAAACAAAAAGGTACATATCTTAAATGAAGGCTGAACAGAGATAAAAGACCAAGCATTAGCTTGCTCCGTAAAAACTTCCTGTTTATAAGCAGTGTTTCATTATATCTCTTCCAGAAAAATAGTAATACGACAACCATTTCAAATGAGTATTCTACTTGTGTGTCTCATAAGATATGAATCAGCACCTTCGACATTTACTGAGAGACATTGCTTGGTCAATATGATATGAAGAAAGTGGATGTATCAAATTACATTGTTGGTTGTGTATAATTTATTTTCCAGTTGTACAGCCCTTTAAGACATTTCTCCAAGGCGACTGAAGTAATGCACCAGGCATCAATCATTACGAGGTTGTCGATATGATTGAGCGCTACATTGGCTGGGAAAGAACCCAATCATTGACTCAAGTCACTCGCCATCACCGAAATTGGCACTCCGTTGCCATATTACGGCTTAATTGGAATTGCCATTGGATTATGAACAGCTTTTGACCAGTCAATGGACACTGCTTCTGACCAGTCTTTGTGTAGGCACGAATTACCCATGTGTCGTACCCTGTCAATATTAGGCAACAAATTACCGTTGATATCGGATTCGAAGGAAGTGGACCATTTCACGCATGTGAGAATATACATTGTCCTTCGTTTACCTAATGAGCTTCACTGCAATGCTCCAGCGCTTCCTTATTCCCCGTAACATGATTTGTGCAGGATTTATACATCTACATTGAACAAGAAGAAGCTAAATGCTGAATAATCTATTAGTGCTTCCGGAGTCAAGTGGTTTCTTCAAGGGATGCCTATGGCGGTCCATCATGTGTAATTCTTGCGTCTCGGTCAATATCAAAAGCTTGTTCGTCTGATAGTGAGTGATTAATACGAGATAAGCCGGAGGAAGCTAATGGGTTTTGGCCGCGTGGCTAGCCTCTGTGACGGCGGAGCCTTCTGAAGCATCCTTATTCAATACATCTTGAAGAAATATGTCAGATGATACATACATTGTGTCGTGTTAACGTTACGGCGTTGACGTTAATCGCCGTCTATAGCTTGTCATTTAAACATTACGCTGTTATAATCCTTTTGACTAACGCTTGCTTGTGAATTTATGTAACTTTTCTTGGATAAGCAACACAGACTCGCTCACGACCACGGCAGCTTCCGAGTTCAGTTGGTGAGAACTGATTTCAAGTGATGTCGATGTAAAAAGTTTTGTGAATAATGACAGGCTCTGAACTATCACCATCAGTCATTCATCATCGTTAACGCTTATATAATGTCGGTTATTATGCGGCCTTAAATAACCTTCGTGATATCGTTAATGATAACTATCGTGATGATGAACATTCCGATGCTGAAACTTCGACGTAATATTGGCAGATGTTGTCCGTGCGAAGGGTGGCTACACCAGGTACTGATGTGGTCATACAATCACAACCATCATTATTTGAAAACTGTGACAATAACATAGTTGTAGTCATGATGACCATACTTGCGCATTGTCGATTGTCGCGGATTTGTGTATTCATCTCAGTATGCAATTACTTTGTTACCAAAAATGAGCTTTGTTTTTGTTTTAATCACAGTAAAGCATATACAACAACATGGAGTGTTAAGGTATAAAAAGTGGGTGGTGCTTGATTAATGCCCATGCATCAACTCACACTGACTCGTGTTGATGTTGCAACGTTGTCATTAATCGCTTGTCAATAGCTTGCTATCATCATCGTCGTCGTCGTCGTCATCTCCGCCGTCATAGTCACCACAACGATCGCATATATAGACGTATGTTCAATATGCATGATACGTTTTACCTGATCTGACGATAACTGTGCATTGGCATGTTCATTCTCAACTCCCTGAGGACGTTACATACCAACTGTACCTTTCATTTGTCTGAAGGCACATAATGCTTTAACTAGTCAAGAGAACCATAACACGACTGTAAAAACAAAATCAAGCCGTTACTTTGGGGTCCCTAGAATAAATAATATCTTTTCCACTATTACCCAGATAGCATTCAGACGTTGGCCCATCGTTGGCAATGGTTTTGCCAACATTGCCAACGTTGGGCCAACGTCCGAATGCTATCTAGGTATATGGTACACTATATTTACAGAGCACAACACTCAATACTTACAGAACTCTCTGCCATATTTCCTTGCTAAATTTCTCCTGCAGCAATTCTCGAACCACACAATGAATCTGGCCGTACTGAAACAAAGAAACACACCATAACTTTATGTAAATCATATATATGTTTATGTATGGAAGTCACAGAACTCCGAAACATACAAGCTGACTTTATAAGACACCAGGCAGGAATATAGGACACATTATTCAATACATAATGGTTAACTTACATCGAGACCACTACCGACGCTGAAGTTTATTAGTGCTAACTTAACTCGTTTTTTTTTTAAATTTCTCCTTGCCGTTAGCCTGCTATGAAACGACATGGAACAAAAATACTTTTGGATACAATTTGTGCGGACAGCCTGGCTACCGATAAGACAAGATGCTGTTGTCACTGATTTTCAATCGAGTCTTTGCAGGTAAAATAGTAAGTCTCCATGGTCCCTATTATGGTGATCTACCTTCAGTTGTTGGCTATCAGTAGCCTGTTTTTATATTGTATCATAGTTCACACACAACTTCCAGTTTTGTCTCTTGGAAAGAGACCCAGCACATGCGATGAGGTAAAAGGAATAACTAAATGATTAAACTTGGAGCTTAAATTTTGAAAAATGTAACTGGAACACTCATTCGTCTTCAAGTTTCACAAGACAAATAACTAGCAAATAAAAAGTTTCTTGGTTTGCTAGATGTCCTGATGGAAATTGTTGTCTTTTCAATATTTATCTATCCAGCTCCGTGCACAGGTAAAAATGTCATATTTTAAGGCAGTAAATACTCCAAACCTCAAACCCATCCAATCCCAAGAATATCAAATGAACAAAGCACTGAGAAGACACATGCCACAGCTCCATGGTATCAGTACACACGACTATTCTAGGACTTTCAATAACATAAAAGACCCAGGCCATAATTACACCAGTTCAAACATCGTAAAAGTTCAGCGCATACTCTCTGGCAAATACATAGCATCCCCCTTCACAACTGACAATTATCCAGACGCTATTCAAAGACAGATTCCCCCTTGGCAACATCCGCAGTCACAAGCATCTCCCTTCTAAACGCCTATCCAAGAAGTCATCTTCCTGATCCAACATGCTCCTGTGAGGGCCACATGAAACCCTCAATCTAATTAGAAATGATCGGAAATTTTCGGAAATATTATCTTTCAAGGTAATTTTGTTTCTGATGCGTTCAAACGAACATTTCTACGAAAACTCCCAAATCGCATTTTTTCTGAAAACATTTCTCATCAACATTCAAGGCCTTGACTTTTTGTGTTAGATATGTAGAGTACAATTAACCTTAAGTTTCATGTATCGATGATTTGATGTCGTTCAATAAAGATAAAATTTCTTCCACAAGACTTCAGTTTTCCTATTGTCATATTTCTCTTTATGTCAAGCAGTATTATTTTCTATTAGCTTCAGTCTTTGTTGTCTTCGTTTCCCATCTGTTCAGGTATAACGACAAAGGCTTGATACTTTATGGATGGCAGCTTCTAGATTATTCTATAACGCGAATTAAACAGACCATAGGCCGTCTTCGTTGACATCAGGACCATCAACTGCAGCCTCCGTCGACATGAGAAGTACATCCAGGCCAGCAACCACCTCACATTCTTCAAGAGATCAAGACACCATACCCAAAGGTCTCAAACAGTATAATAGATAAATAAGTTGTAATCCATGAAGTATCTTGCCTTTATTGTTACTCAAGTTTGAAACAGTCAAAAAGCTGATTTTCAGATATATCTCACCATGTGAGGATCAAAAAGAGTTACAAATTTGATTGATCAGGGCTACGCTATTTAACGCTTTGTGGAGAATGCGTGAAGGAAATTTCCAACTTTGCGGTATGATTAGTCAACATAATCTCTCATACACTCTTTGTATTTAAGTTTGACCAAATGACCGAGTAAGTGAATGAGTTTAGTTTTACGCCGCTTTTAGCAATATTCTAGCGAAATATCACCAGGGGACACCAGAAAACGGCTTCACACATTGTACCCATGTGGGGAATCGAACCCGGGTCCTGGGCGTGACGAGCAATCGCTTTAACCACTAGGCCATATTACCAAATGTCCATGTGTGAACAATTGACCAGCGTTTGCAAGTGTTATGACGGATTTTCCCTCTGGGCAGGGTACGCTCATCTCTTCGCGAACGCCGGATATAATCAATAAATGATAGTGATCAAATACAAATGCTTATAAAGTAGTCTGAATGGTTCTGTGAAAACTGCTTTGGGCGGATTTTTTTATAATGGAAATATTTTTCCCTGTACTTTTGTCGTGTGCATTAGAAAAGCTACAACATCAAGGTTCCCACGGCCGTTTTGCACCTTATGTGCTGTAGTTGTGGAAACTCATTTAACTTTTGCAGTAATTAAGTGTTATTCTAATTACCCTAGTGTTCCAAGTTGCTCTGTAATGAAGACAGCGGTAGGAGCCGTGCCAATTTAGACTTGTGAGAGGTACACAAAGTACATGTACGTGATATACACTATATATAGTCCGTTTGGCTCAAAAGCGGACCGATGAATTGCAATCTAACTCGAAAACTAATGAACATATACACCTGGAACTTAATTAAGCACACACACACACACACACACACACACACACACACACACACACCCCACACACACACACACACATTTTCTGGATGATTAGAAACAAAACTTGCTGTAACTCTCTTACTATTCCAAAGATAGTGGAACCTTAGCTATTGTGAAACATACGATCTATTGGCAAATGAAAAACAAGACAATGATTCCAATACGTGTTGTTTTAATAGCGTAACCAATGTGATTTGGCCACTATTGATTCTTGATGAAAATAGTCACTGAACAAGTATGGTCGTAGCATTGTCATAGGCTGACAATTACAAGAAATGATGCACAAGGAATGTCACATGTTAACATCTGATGGGTCTGGCATAAGTATCGGGTGTATCCCCCACGTGCTTGGATGACAGCTTGAATCCTCCTCATCATGCTACTGGTAAACCTTCTGATACGATCAATTGGCAATTGCCGCCATTCTTCATGCAAAGCAGCTTCCAGTTGTGCAAGATGCTGGAGAGGGGGTTCTCTCAACCTCACACGGCGTCCAAGAAAGTCCCAGATGTGCTCCAAAGGATTCAAATCGGGGCTCATTGCTGGCCAAGGTAATGTTATGATAGCCTCATTCTGGAGATGTGCGGTCACAGCACGTGAACGATGCGGCCTGGCGTTGTCATCCATGAACATCGGGTGAGTAGCCAACGGGTTGTTGTCAAAGTGAGGCACGACAACTGGATGGGGAATATCCCGGATGTACTGCTGACCATCAAGATTTCCTCGGACAGTCACCATTTGAAGTTTACAGTCGTGTGAAAGACAACTCCAGATCATAACCGATCCTCCACCATAAGGAACAGTAGGGTGGATATTCCTGGGCACGTAAGCAGTGTTTTTATGCCTCCACACTCTCATTCGACCATCTGTAACGTGGAGGAGGTACCTGCTCTCATCTAACCAGTGGACCATGCTCCATGTCCTCAGGTTCCACTGGCGACGGGCCATACACCACTCCAGACGTCGTCCCTTATGGAGATCAGACAGAGCAGGACGTTTGATGACTCTTCTGGACCTCATACCAAGTGCCCTAAGGCGATTTCAGACGGTTCTGGTGGATAGTTGTCTGTAGGGTAACCACAGGTGCTTCAAAACCGAACTTGTGGCAAAGGGTTCTCGCCTTACCAGACGTGCCAGGCTGCGATCATCACGGGCCGTTGTCTTCCTGGGTTGTCCAGGCCTTGGACGATCTCTCACATCTGTCATCTGATGTTTTCGGACAAGTCGGCTGATGACCGAAAGACTGTAGCCCAGTTGTCGTCCAATAGCTTTGAAGGACATGCCTGTTGCATGCATGCCGACAATTTGCCACCTTAGTGCTTCAGAAAGTCTTCTCGCCATTTCAGTATTCATTAATGGAGACAGTTACAAATTTGTCTGCTTTTATACCCATAAATTGCATGTCAGAGAAACTGAATTTTGGGAAAAGTGTGGGTTGTATGCTTCACGTGCACAAGGGATGCGTTGTGACGAGTGCAAAGGAACTGAAACACCTTTTTAGACTACTAGAGATGTGTTGTAATACAGAGATATCATTCATGTTTAACGATGGTTAACAGTTGCTCTACTATCATGAAATATATCAGGGGGTGCTTAATTAAGTTCCAGGTGTATATATTACTCAATGAAACGGTGATCATAATCAAAACATCAGACCAACTCCGCGAGTTTCTTTGCAGAATTTATGCCCTAATAATAAAAAAGTTGTTTAACAAACTATCATTAAAATATTTACACAGTTCACTATTTGTTACGAGGGAGGAGTGCAAAGACAAGGAACAGCCAGGTGTGCGAGAAAGGATGGAGACAGCACAGGTAAATGAATAACTTTGTCGGCACTTGTGCTCGTGCTTCTCGCACCCCTGGCTGCCCCTTTCTCTGCACTCCTCCCTCGTAACAAATAGTGAACTGTGTCTTGAAACTCTTTTCGAGAAACACCTAGTATCATCACTTATTTTCTATCTATTCACATTCTAGTTTGCTCTTTACACCATTGAAATATGTATCATTTGATAATCCAGGTTGAAAATTATCTCACACTGACATTTTACATTTGTTTTGATTTGAACATTATTGACCAATCGTTTCATATTACAAACTAAACATGACTTTTTCTGTCCATGGATGTGCATTGAAGGGCGAATTGCTGCGTTTATCAAACATAGGTATTATCAGCTACCACTGGCAAAGCTGCATTAGTTGAAAGTGTCCAAATGGTTACATATGAAACAATGCGCCAAAAATTATACAGCAGTGATTACATCACCAAGCAAGGGAAGTTGTTCGGGAATTGACCAAAATTCCGTCCGGAATGGCTGATTCCCAAATCTACCAGACAGCCAATTAACTTCCGTCAAGCATTGGGATTAATTACTGAAGTATGGCTGTGTTCCTTCCAAATGAAGTTTCCCATACACAAATTGATTTACCCCTTGTCATTGCATATGATAGATATCTATATTTCTAAATTGGTGCTGACGTGCGTGGTGTCAATAATTATGATTTTGGTGTGTATGCATATATGTTTTCCGAACCAATCGGACGATCATGAAATATGAAGGTTATGAAAGGTTTTCAGAAGAATGATCAGCTTTGAAAAACTATTGCCAGAGTAGGACTGTTTTCAGAACCAAACGCTGACGTCCCCAACTCTCAAACAACATTGTCTAAGTAGTACGGGCAATGTAATATTCACCCGTGGACGTTGGTCGCGGGTCCTTCCTGATTTCGAACTTCATTAAAAGGTCGTCATGCGCACGGTATCTACTCTTGCTTTAATGTTATATATAAATCAAGCTGGGACCAGACAACCCAGTGATTGATATCCTGAACAGATCTACACAGCTGGAACACGCACTAACCAAGTTAGAGAGCCTGCCCACCCGATCCCGTTACTCGCCTTTTACGACAAGCATGGGTTGCTGGAGACCAATTCTCATGGGTTTTCTAACAGGAGTCAGGACAACTGGAATCCAGCGTGCTGAAACCTTTGCCCATCATTCCATAGAATGTTCTCAAGTCTCTCACGAGAGATGTCTTCTGTATTTGCTATGTGCCGGGTCGCTATTAGTGGTAGACCATCCATAATCATATAATGTATTTCATCAACATTTTCATTCGTGTTGGCATTATGGGGTCATCTAGAAGGCCCTCTGTTCCCTTCTTCAACTCCGCTTCACACCTCTTCACACTGGCAGAGGAAGGAACATCATTATCTAACTTTGAAACCGTGAAT